GTCATCAGGCCCTGCATTAAGGATGGGTTAACAAGTGTGTACGTGGAGGTAGCCACAATGTTCATCCTGAAAAATATAGTCTCCAATCTCTACAACAAAGCCTGGTGCAAAACCCATGCCCCACTCCTCCATGTTCTTTGATATTCATAGAAGATTTTGCATCAGACCTGTAATGTTGGGTAGCTCTTACAGCCTCTTTCTGTAAGACATGGCATCTAAGTCCACTGCAGCAGTTCTCATGTGTGACCTCTGCCTCTGCTGATCTGTCACCGGTGCTATACTATTCCCCTATCCAGGTTGAAAGACACTCATTCTCATTGTCTCAGCATGCCACCATGTGCATATCCACCTCTAAGCCACCTTTTGAAGTTCCTGCAGAGTCAGTATTTGAGACTGTTGTTGCAAATGTTAGAATTTTTGATTTTGTTTTATTTATCACTGCCTTTTTGTACCAGCACTTTCTGATTCACCACTCTCTCTTTATTTAAAGCTCTTGTAGAACTAAAAGGAGAGAGCTGCAAAGGTAAGTTTGTGGTAAGGGAAGACGTAGAGAAAGCAAGAAATGCATTCTTGCACCATCTGTAGCTTCTAAATCAGAAGAGATTGTGGAATGAGGGGCAAGTAGATTGAGTTTAGATTTGCATGTGCCATAATCTAAAATGGTTTCAAACTCACCACTGGTAATTGTGTCAGTCATGGCCATTCCAGTAATTGGAACCAGTATCCCCTCCATGGGGCTAATGACTTGCAGTCGCACTGGTTAGATGCTGCTGTCAATGGTTATTTTCCATCACATCCTGTAAGAGAGAGGGAACAGTGTCAGTGAGAGTTGTGCAATCTGATTAGGTGATGTGGCTAACTTGATTGAATAGTGTGTGAGGTGTTGGCATAAAGCTTGCAGTGGTATTAAATATGTGAGGGTGAGGTGAAGCTCTGAATGTGGGTTGTGAATGATTTTAAAAGCGCTGGAGGAAAGAGTTGGGGGTGTCTGAATTGAGCAATCTGTGAGGCTACTGGAGCAGTTGCTGGGATTTGGCATTGCAAGATGAACTCACTGGCCCCTTGCATTTGTGAGAGATCATAAAATATTGGGTTTGTCTGGAGAGCTTCATGGGTCCCCTATCCTGCTCTGCCATAATTCCTTATTCATTTTGCCCACAATCTTTTTCTATAACTGTTCCAGGAACAGTTGCAACCAAATTGCCCTTCCCTTTTAAGAGGTATAGTTTGACTTTAAATAGAGCAATGTGGCTCTAAATGATGCTGCTGTTGCACAAACTTGGTCTGGCTGCTGACTTGTGCAATCACTCAGCAATATGTTTCTGTATGTTGTGGTAACAGTTGGACCAGGCTGATAGGAACTTGTAATTTTGAGAGGAAAAATCAGGGCAACTACCTAGTGAAGCATTTGTCAGGTAGCACTGGTATTAATTCAGAGTAATTTAAGAAAACACGTCCTGAATTTGCTGCCAGTACAGGCTGATAGGCTGACTGGCCACTTTCTATGCTATACCATTCTACAATTTAATATGAAATAAGCAAGAGTCTTTGCAGAGCTGTAAGTTTGAAAACATTTTCTCCGATGTCTGACATTTTCAGACACAAGTGAACAAGTGAAGAACTCAGGTAATTTCTAGTTGCTTCCACTGACAGCTTGTTCCTGTTAGTACTAGATATGGAGTGCAAAGTGAGAAATGGCCAGATATTGACTGGTACAACAACTCTGCATTGTTTTCACCACAAGGTTATTCAGACTGCAACAGTTGTCATGGTGCATATCACAGCCAGTAGTTTTCCTGAACAGGAAGACACTTAACTTAATGAATGCACAGGTAGTCACAAACCATGCTGTCAAAATTATTTATGTGTCTGGGGAGAAGGCACGGTGATGCTGCCATACACCAACAGTCTAGAGTGCCTGCAATTTTCCATCACTGCTCATGACCTCTGCTCTTCCACCTTTGCACTTTTCACCAATCACTCCTTCTACTATACCATCAATGGTTACTCCTTCTGTCACCATGCTGCTGCCCCTTTGAATTCTCTGCATATTCCTAAATGCTGTTACCTCATCTGAATGCTATCCTTCACTCTGCCTTTGCTCCCGTGGTCATAACCTTTGCATTTCTCTTTCTTTTCTCTCTGCCTGTTATCACCATTCCCTCCTCTTCTTTGACATGTTTCTTATTCAGAGTCATAAAAATGTCAAACATGATTGTTAAGTGCCTTGAGAAGTTTTACAAAGTTAAGTGTGCCATCTGCCCACCTAGCACCCTTACCCATTAGCCAATTGCTACACTAACCCCACGCTTGCCCTACATATTTACCCTTTCACAGGAGCTGTCCAAATGCCTTGCTGTGCTGCCTGATCTTTAAATTCACAACATGATAGCTGGCTACTGCAAAAGAAGGCCATGTTTTGACTTCCCCTGACTGCCCTGCACTATGGGGGAAATTTTCTGAATTCACATACACTCCACACTTCAGAAAGAGCTGTGATCTGCACTCCCAACCAGAAATTCAGAGTTCAATACAAGAGGAAAAGAAAAGAATGGAGTGGCAATCAATCTGACTGTAATTGTCATGCTTGGGGAAATCTGGGCCACAGTTTTCACGTTTTTGGGGTGGTTGAGTGGGATCAAAACTCTGCCTGTTGTGAACAGCTGAAAGGATGTGTTGTTCTGTATGCTTCCAACAGTTGTTGGGATATTGTTCCTTTGCTCCTGTCATCACACTGGCACTAAAATTAATGTAACACATTACTCATTTGTGCAGTAGACAGAGCATCTTTTTAGCTTGACTAGTTAGTTCCGACTGCATAGTGGCAGGATAAAACAGCTTGCTTCACTATTTCTCCAATTCTTTGAGATGCCTACCCTTCCAATGTAATTCTCCATTGTCCTTTTTTAGATGATGATGATACTGTGGTTTTAAGAGGTGTGTTTTGTCCTGGTTTCTTTTAAAGAAACACTAGAGGGACAGGTATCGAGCAGTCTATGAGAAGATAAACAACTTATGAAGCCTTGGTTTTTTTTTTTGAAAGCTTGAACAATAGAAACAGCCTTCTAGGCTGTTGGATTGCAAGTGGGACAAAATCTGTTTTCTGAATTTGCCTTTTGCCAAGAGTGTTTTTATGGGATGTTACTATATTCGATTAATTAACCTGTATTAGTTACTGTGTCTATTATTCTGTTAAGTTTTCCAGAGTTAAGTTATGCCAAGTTCTTCTTTCTTCTGTTGTATTTTAACTATAGCGTTTGAATAAATTGTGTTTTGCCTAATATCAAATATTTTGACCAATCAAATTGCATCTGGAACACATCACCTGACATTTACCTTCAAAACAAGAAAAAGTTAGGGCCTAGACTACTTTCTTAATACATTTTTAGGGGGGTCTTGTCTGGCCCATAATAGCATCAAACGATAGTGTCAGGTTAAAGGCTCCTTATGCATTCTGAATGGCAAGATTATAACTAGTTAACCAAATGGCATCCTTTTCTTATGAAGGGTAAGTTATTATTCAGTTTGAAATGTGGCATTTTTGTGTCTGTCCTGAGGGGTACAAGGCTAAAAGCTTCAATCATATTTCTCTTTTTTCAGCAAAACTGCAATTCCATACAACCAATTATTACTGGATAAGTCAGCTCCCCGATTGAAATCTAGATTGATTCTTGTTTAGCTTTGGTTTTAACAAGGCAGTCCTACACTGAACTATAACTACACAATGTTGCTCATATGATTTTATCATTAAAATAGAAGATTATTAAACAAATAATCCCAGTAATTGCAAAGCACCCATGTACAGTACCCAAAAGCAGCTCAGCACAGTACTTGCATTAGGGAAAAATGACTTTCTCTAACATCTCTGCAGGTTTAATATAACAGTGACTTCTACTCGCAGTCTGGAAAATCTGATAGCCTCTTCCTGGAGCTTTCGTACACCTGAACTTAAGCATTTGACATTTTAAATGACCTCTTTGATGTTTTATGCAAACACACCTGGTCTGAAATTATTATTAAACTTCATATTCTGAGGTAATGTTTTGTTAACAAATCTTAGTATCGTCTCCCCTTCTGAGGAGCAACTGCTTTGCACATCGATCTGCATTCCAAACGTCTGCAGAATGGTCCAAACCAAACCTTTTTTTAAATTTAACCAAGTGATGGATGTTTCCAAGCTTAAAAAAAGTTTAAAATTTTCCTGTTGGAAGCTTGATGCACAATTGGTGACTGTGTTCGTCATAAAGCCTCCTAATGTAGATGATAGTTAATTAGCCCTGGAGATAATTTCTCCTTTTGGTTGTTTTAAAATAAATCAGCACTTCTGCAGAAGTACTTACAAACTAGTCAGTAAACACTTCAGACACACAATAAAAACCATATGTTATGAATTCAATATTCAAAATTTCAAACTTAAATATAAATGATGTTAAAATATATGTATAAAACAAAATCCTACAGGACACTTTGCAAATTGTGTCTAATATCTGCAATTTCAAAGGGTCATGGTAATATTCTGCGATACTATGCTCTTTCCAATAAGCAACCCATTGCATATCAGGCAAGGCAATTGAATATTTGCTGGCATTTATGTTGCCTGAAACATAGAACAAAAGGCTGCTTTGAAAATGGATGCCCCAAAATAGTTAATGGCATCAGGAGACAAGGGGTAAAAACAGGGGCAAATTATAAAAGGAAATAAATGGTCTGAATAATAAATAGTTTTATTTTATTTACTTGACGGTAATCAATATATATCTTTCATATTGTGCTATAGATGTTTTTTAAAAATTGCTTTGTAAAAGTACTAAGTCAGAGTATGAGTACAAAGTAATTTAGTTAATTTATGCCATTAAAAATCATCAAATACTTTGCCCAATAAATAATTTGAACTGATTGAATTCATCAATGTTGGTGAGCCAGCATGAAACCATGAAGTTTGTCTAATGTAGGTTTATTCAATGCAACTGAAAGATATTGCACATTTGTTTTATTTGTAGGTCAACTGAAGCTTACCGCCAAACGAAAAACCAAATTTTATTTCTTAAGTGAAGATATAAAATAAGTGAGACTGGAGCCTCCAAATCCCAATCGACCTCCCATCCAGCTGATGGACATTTGGGAGGTTCACTTGGATGAAAGTACAGATCGAAAATTCTACATTAATACGATCACAAAGGAGAAAACCTGGAAACCGCCAAGGCTATTTGTGGGCATGCGAGACATAAAGGTAAATGAAAAATTTCCAAAGGAAATACAAGCAGTTACATGATCCTATTGAGTCACTGACTGAATTATTTCTGCAGAGTAACAGAAGACACAAAACTTGAAGTTACATGAAACTAACATAATTATACTGTGGATGTATTAGCATATTCAAAAACATGTCTATGCCCAGAATTTTGGAAACAAATAAACATAGGTGGGTTATAATGGCTATACGTATATTAGGAGCAAGAGGATAACTATGGAAAGCGTAGGTACACTCAAGAACAAAAGGGGAAATTTATGTGTGGAACCAGAGGAAGTGGGTGAGGTCCTTAATGACGACATTGCATCAGTATTTACCGAGGAGAAAGGTACGGATGATGGAAAGTTAAGGGAAGAGTGTGTTGATACTGTAAGACATGTCAATATTAAGAAGAAGGTGGTGTTAAGTGTTTTGAAAAGGTAGATAAGTCTCACAGTCTAATGGGATCTATTCCAGGATAACAAAGGAGGAAAAGGAAGAGATTACTGGGCCTTGAGAAAGATCTTTGTATCCTCTTTAGCCACAGGCAAGGTCTCTGAATCCTGGAGAATAGTCAATGTTTTTCCTTTATCCAAGAAGAGTAACAGGGATCATCCAAGAAATTAAAGGCCAGAGAGCCTTATATTAATGGTAGGGAAATTATTGGAGAAGTTTCTTAGGGACAGAATATACTTGCATTTGGAGAAATGAGGACTTATTAGGGATAGTCAGAATGGCTTTATGCAAGGAAGGTTTTGTCTCACAAACTTGTTTAAGTATTTTGAGGAATTGACAAAGATGGTGATGAGAGTAAGGCAGTAGATGTTGTCCACATGGACTTTACTAAAGCATTTGACAAGGTTCTTCATGGTAGGCTGGTGTAAAAGATCAAATCACATGGAATCCTTGGTGGTTGGTAATTTGGATAAAAATTAGCTTGGCCATGGAAGGTAGAGAGTTATGGACAGTAAGGAAGGATAGCAAATGATGCAGCAGGATATAGATCAGCTGGAAAGTTAGGTGAAGAAATGGCAGGTGGAATTTTATCCAGACAAGTGTGAAGTGCTGTATTTTGTGAGGTTAACTGCAAGAGGGATGTATACTGTAAACATCAGACTCTTAGGAGCATTAATGTACAGAGGGATTTCGGGAACCAAGTCCATAGTTCCTTGACAGTGTCAACACAAGTGGCTAAGGTGGGAAAGAAGAAATACAGCTTCCTTGCTTTTTTTTGGTTAGGCATTCAGCAAAAAGTGGCAAGTCTTGTTCCAACTGTATAAGATAGAGTTCTATTCAACACACAATATGAAGGACGTTGAGGTACAGAAGAAATTTACCAGAATGTCGCTTGTGCAGGCAGATGAGATCAGTTTAGAATAGCATTGTGGTTGGTGCAGACATGGTGGGCTGAAGGGCCTGTTCCTGTGCTGTACTGTTCCCACACTGTAGGGATTCTATGATCTATTTTGGATTTTGCTACAGTAAATTGTGTGAAACTGCAGTGTGATTGATCCAGAAGTAGGATGTGACAAAATGCTAGAAGACATCAATAAATATGTAGAATAGATTTGAACAAATTGGCTTGACTCCAAGATAGATAAGTGCGAGATAATACATTATGAAGCACAAACAACAGCCTTGGCTAAGTGGGCTGATTGACCTGTTCTGTGCTGCAAAGACTGCATAAAGCCTGATTCCACTAGCTCAAGGGCCAGTTACCAATGTCACAGCAGTCTTAAAATAATGGAAAAGGAAAATTGAAGGTTGAAATGGGGGGAATTAGTTTTATGCAGCAATATTTTACATCTGGAATGCATTTCCTGAAAGGGCAGCGGTAACAGATTCTGTAGTGACTTTCAAAGGGAAATTGAATGAATGTCTGAAAAAGGAAGAAATTATACAGCAATGAAGAAAGGCCTTGGAAGTAGGACTAATTGGGTAGCTGTCAAAAGGCTAATGAAGACAGAATGGGCCAGATAGTATCCTTCTGGGTTGTATGATTCTATAATTCTATGATTCTTGGGATGAATGCTTCAAATGTCAGATGTATTCATAATTGTAGTTGAAATTTTAGATTGAAGTTACACTGTCATTTGTTGATCTTGACCTGATACCTGAGCGCAAGGAACTAGAGCAGTATGAGAGTCTCTGTAAAATTGGATTTCACATATATTGCTTACTGGATACTTTCTGATACATTTCGAAAGTGCCCAGGGTTTAACCAGATAGCTGAGATTCTTCTACCAGTTTGAATAGGATTTTTTCAAGCTATGAAGGAATGAAGGCATCTGTGTGCAGATGCAGAGCTCCCCTGAAACTGCACCTCAAATCCTACCGGTTTAGATGAGCTAAAACAACTTAGTCTAGCTAATATATAATGTTAGCTACATTATTACTACAAACTAAAGCTGTTGTCTGAAGCATATGGTTTTATTTGCATTTGAAAAATATTCAAACAATAAGAACCAGTGTTCTAAAAAAATTAATATAATGATGAAGATAAAAATAAGTTGTGAACTGATAAGACTCAGTATACACTAGTTGAATGGTGGCACACTCCCAACTGAGTTCGAAGTTTGTTGCAAAATTTCATTTTAGAGATTCAAGACTGACATTCCAGAACTGTGCTAATAGCATATGCTGTCTTTTAGATGAGACATTGAACTAAAAGCTATCCATCCCTCTTAGGTACACATAAAATATCTCAAGGCACTGTTCATGGATAAGACAAAGAAATGGTTTTATTGCCAGTTTAGATGCCTCAAACAACATTACTCTTTTTGGGACCTTGCAGTGTTCATATTATTGGCAAACCATGTATTTCTCCATCACAAGGCTGGCTACAGTTTAAACTTAGTACTTAATTAGTTGTCAAATGCTTTGGAATGACCTGAGGTCATATAAGGTGTTATAGAAATGCAAGTTCTTTCTTTTTTCTTGAAATCCAATTACATTTGTACAGACCACTCTACTTAGGTTCAAGTCTGCTAGGAATAAATCTCTTTGAAGTATCTTAATTTAAATTCCTAATAGAAGACCATTTTAATTATAGCTACTGCTTTGATATGAATACAGCACATCCAAGTCATCTAAGGTGACTTTGCACTTTTTCATTTGTGTGTAAATTACATAAACTAAGCTGTCCATTTAAAGTTACATTTGAGGTATATTTGCATTACAACTAGAGCTAACATATTTTTACTCATTCTTGGATGTGAATGTCACCCAATTTCCTTGAAAAGACAGTGAACAATTGATGTTGAGAAACATATCAGTCATGATCGAATGATGGAACAGACTCAATGGGATGAATGGCCAAATTATGCTTCTAGATTTTATGATCTCATGGTCCAACTGCCGTTTTGAACTGATGCAATGCATACAGTTAAGATATCTACACAAATAAAAAAAGTATCTGTGTCATTTTCCAAGACATTTGGGCAGGTGCATAAATAGGAGAGGTTTAGAGGTATGTGGGCCAACACAGGCAAATGGGACTAGTTCAGTTTAGGAAACTTGGTCAGCATGGACAAGTTGGACCAAAAGGTCGATTTCCGTGTGGTGTGACTCTATGAATCTATGACTCCATGACTGTAGAAAATATGTGGATTTCTGAACACCAAAGTTATCAAGGAGTATGAAGAGAGAGTAGGAGTATGGAGTTGAAGTAGGCAATCAGCCATGATCATACTGAATGACAGTGCAGGCTAAATTGACAGGGTGGCTTATGCCTACCCCATTCTCTATGTTTTCATGTAACTATTTGTGAGAAAGTTTCAGGATTTTTATCCAGAGATGATGCAGAAATTGCAATATACTTCCATGCCAAAATGTTGTGGGACTTGGAGGCAAACTTGCAAATACTGATTTTCCCATGCGTCTGCTGACACTGCCCATCAAAGTGGTGGAGACTATGGGTTTGGAAAATGCTATCAAGGGATCTTTTGCAAGTTGCTGCAGTGCATGTTGTAAATGTTGCTGCCATTGTCATTGGTGTAGGAGTGATTGAATGTTTAGGCTGGTCAATGGGGTACTGAACAAGCAGGCTGGATGGTGTCGCACCTCTTAAGTGTTTCTAGAGGTGCACTCTTCAAGGTTAGTGGAGAGTATCCTATCACATCCTGATTTGCATCTAGAAGTTTCAGAAATAAGTAGTTATAAGGCTCCTTGTGTGTCACTTTCACACCAACTTGGTTTGATGCCATGAGGAATGGCATCCAATGCAATATCAAAATGTATTTGACAAGTATTCACAAGGTAACAGTTCCTGTATGTTTCTTATGCCTATTCAGTAACCTAAGGATAAATTATGATCATATAAACTTGAGACAATATGTAAATTCCTGATACAAATAGTTCTTATTTAATTACAAATGCCCTAAAATTATGCTGAAAGATATTAGATTAATGCTATCTTAAATGAATTAATTGCCTCTGTTAAAACCACATTGAGGATAATTATAGGAATTATAGAGAGTTAATTACTTTACCTGGTTGAAAGTAAGTTTCTAGAGTATAATTACCAACCAAGAATTTAGATTTTTTTTGAAAAAAATGGATCAAATACCAGTCATGAAATATTTAGGGAATGGTAATCATGGTATCATAAGTTTTGGGATAGCTGGAGAAATCTCGAATTAAAATATTTAAATGGGGAGAGCCAATTTTGATGGGATGAGAACATAATTCTCTCTTGAATCCTTTATTCATTAATGGGATGAGGGCATCACTGGCTAGGCAACATTTATTGCCCATTCCGAATTGCCCAGAGGGCAGTTAAGAGTCAATCACATTGCTGTGGGCCTGGAGTCACATGTAGGCCAGACCAGGTAAGGATGGCAGTTTCCTTCCCTAAAAGACATTAGTGAACCAGATGGGTTCTTCCCGACAATCAACAATGGATTCATGGTCATCAATAGAAAATAATTGCAGATATTTTATTGAATTCAAATCGCACCATCTGCCATGGTGGGATCTGAACCTGGGTTCCCAGAATGTTA